AGGAAAGGCATGCATGGGTGTCATCCACGAAGGAAGCCTCTCCTAAAAACCCATGTACAAAAAAGTCCGCCTAACATTTGCCAGGGCCCATGCTGAAAAAAAATAAAAAAAAGGGACTACTGGGACTCTGAACTCTGGAGTGATGAGACCAAGATAAATGATTTTGGCGAACTGTATGGCTTAAAAACTGTTTTTCGGCACTCTGCAAAGGTGAGGAGTACAAAGAAAAATGCATGGTGCATACAGTGAAGACTGGTGGTGGACGGGTTCTTCTGTGGGGCTGCATGAGTGCTGCTTGGTGTCAGGGAGCTGCATTTCATTGATGGGGATTCATGAAACTTCACAGATGTACTGCTCTCTCATATTGAAAGGTAAAGCGAGATGTTTACTATCACTCTGTGCCCTTGGTCGTTGTGCACTTCGTGCAACACAACAATGATCCAAATACACACATCTAAAAGGCCACATTGTTGCATTTCTGAAAAACTGAACAGGATGAAAGTGATTCAGTGCCCAAGTATGTCTCCTGATCTGAACCCAATCAAACACCAATGGGGAATTCTGAAGAGACAAGATTGAGCATCACTCTCCATCCAGCATCCAGGCTCTAAAAGAGGTCGTTCTTGAGGAATGAAAAAAGATAGACTTATCGCAATATGTCACCAACTTGTTCAATCCATGCCTAGAAGACTTGGTGCTAGTCCTTACAAATCATGGCGGTCATGCAAAATGCTAGATGTAGATGCTTTTGTTTGTGGGGTGTATTCATTTTTGCATCGACAACTAATTTGAGTAAAAACTGAAAAAAAAATTTTGTAATGCAAGTTATATTATTAAGCTTACTTTCATGTAATGATCTCTCTCTCTCCCTCCCTCCAAGTGAGTCAGGCCCTAGAGGAGAAACCCAGCAAAGGCCGTTTACTGGAATCAATTTCAGTGAGAGGACAGTGCTGTGTACTTGCGCAAGCTCACTATGATCTGCAGACCAAATACTGCTGCTAAGTGCTTCTTCAAAAGTATTTAGACTCTCTCTGTCTGCCTTTTCTGTTTCGCTGCATGCATGATGTAGAAAAACACAGAGTGCCTTGAAAAAGTATTCATAACCTCTTGAAATTTTCCATATTTGGTCATGTTACAACCAAAAATGTAAATGTATTTTATTGGGATATTATGCGATAGACCAACACAAAGTGGCACACAATTGTGAAGTGGAAAGAAAATAAGTGGTTTTCACATTTAGAAAAAAAAAAAAAAAAAAAATATCTTAAAAGTGTGGCATGCTTTTGTATTCAGCCAACATTAGTGAAAAGACAGCATCATTAAGGCCATCACGCACCAGACAAGTCAGGGCTAAAATTGTGTGGATACGTTTAAAGCAGGGTTAGGTTATAAAAAAAATATCCCAAGCTTTGTACATCTCATGGAGCACTCTTCAATCCATCATCCAAAAATGGAAAGAGTATGGCACAACTGAAAACCTACCAAGACACGGCTGTTCACCTAAACTGACAGGCTTGGCAAGGAGAGCATTAATTAGAGAAGCAACCAAGAGTCCCATGGTAAACTCTGGAAGAGCTGCAGAGATCCACAGCTCAGGTGGAAGAATCTGTCCGCAGGACAACTATTAGTAGTGCACTCCACAAATCTGGCCTTTATTGAAGAGAGGCAAGAAGAAAGCCATTGTTGAAAGAAAGCCATAAGAAGTCCCGTTTGCAGCTTGCGAGAAGCCATGTGGGGGACACAGCAAACATGTGGAAGAAGGTGCTCTGGTCAGATGAGACCAAAACGGAACTTTTTGGCCTAAAAGCAAAATGCTATGTGTGTGGAAAACGAACACTGCACATAACCCTGAACACACCATCCCCACTATGAAACAAGGTGGTAGCAGTATCATGTTGTGGGGATGCTTTTCTTCAGCAGGGACAGGGAAGCTTGTCAGAGATGATCAGAAGATGGATGGAGCCAAATACAGGGCAATCTTAGAAGAAAACCTGTTAGTTTGCAAAAGGACTCGAGACTGGGGCAGGGGTTCTCTTTCCAGCAGGACAACGACCCTAAACATACAGCCAGATGTACAATGGAATGTTTAGACCAAAGCATATTCATGTGCTAGAATGGCCCGATCAAAGTCCAGACCTAAATCCAATTGAGAATCTGTGGCAAGACTTGAAAATTGCTGTTCACAGACACTCCCCATCCAATCTGACAGAGGTTGAGCTTAATTTTGCAAAGAAGAATCGGCAAACATGTCACTCTCTAAATGTGCAAAGCTGGTAGAGACACCCAAAAAAACTTGCAGCTGTAATTGCAGCGAAAGGTGGTTCTACAAAAGTATTGACTCAGGGGGGGGCTGAAGACAAATGCATGCCACGCTTTTCAGATATTTATTTGTCCCTTCTCCATCTACACCTCCTCCCTTGGTCACTTGATAAACTCCCATGGCTTTAAGTACCAACTCTGCTGATGACACACATATATCTCTCTACTCCTCACCTCGCCCATTCAGTCCAATCTTGCATTACTAACCTACTAAGTGACATATCAGCATGGATGTCACTCCACTTCCTTAAACTAAATCTTTCCAAAATGGTGCTTCATACAATTCCCTCCAGCCCGTGCCCCCTCCCCTGACTTCTCCATCAAGATCAATAATACAACCATCAGTCCCTACCCCTCATGCCAGGGTACTATGTGTAACCCTAGACTCCCATCTGTCCTTTCAGCCCCAAATCCAATCACTGTCCAAATCTTGTAGACTTCACCTCTGCAACATCTCCAAGATACGCCCGTTCTTAACCTTAACTAAGCAACTTATTCACTCCCTTGTTATCGCTCACTTTGACTATTGTAACTCCCTCCTCATTGGCCTACCTAATCGCAGGCTATCCCCTCTTCAGTCTATCATGAATGCTGCTGCCAGACTCATCCACCTTACTAACCATTCCATATCTGCCATCCCTCCACTGGCTTCCCATTGCCCAGAGGGATGAAGTCATGTGGGCGTGATGTAACGTGTAAGGGGCGTGGCTCTGGGCAGACGTGAATAGTGAGCTCAGCTGATAGGAAGTTCAGCCTGCATCTGATAATTTTACACGCCTTTGGCGTTTTATTCATTTGCTACATGTGAGTGTACTACTGCTTCTTAAATAAAAAATACTTATGCAAGTACATACTGCACCATGGGAGTGTCCTTTGTTCCCTTTTAAGATAGAAATGTGTAACCTCCATTACCTTTTTAAAAGGGACCAATCCCTAGCTCTGGTTTGGCATTCTATTGAAAGTTCAAAGGTGTCTGATTACTATCACATGGTTGTGTATTGAAAAAGTGAAGAATCCTTCTGTCTACTTGATATTATTAAGCACATTTTCATGTGCTCTGAGGTGAGAGTTCTGTGAGCACTGAGGTGGCACTACTTGTGTAATATACACGGTTTCACTTGATGGTGTTTGGGATATCAGTACAAGAAGAAAAACACATGCATTGTTGAAGAACTTTATCACTAATGAAAATTGATTGATTTCACATATATGACATTTATTCAGTTATGTCCTCGTCTTTTTATTTATAGTTACCTTATAGCAGCGCAACATCATTGCTGTATTGTCTCCCTTTATATTGTAAAGCGTTGAGCAAACTGTTGGTGCTATATAAATCCTGTATAATAATAATAATAAACTATTTTGAAAACCATTTATCATTTTCCTTCCACTTCATATTATTTTGTGCCACTTTGTGTTGGTCCATCACATAAAATCCAAATAAAATATATTTACGTTTTTGATTGTAACGTGACAAAATGTGGAAAATTTCAAGGGGTATGAATACTTTTTCAAGGCACTGTAACAAAATGTATGGCGATAAACAGGAGGCAGCATAATACAAATTACACTTGTCCAGAGACACCGAAAAGGAAGGGGAAGGAATCTCATCCTAAGCCTTCTTAAGCACTTAACTGTCATACAGCTGCACAGGTAGTAGTTCAGCTGCCGTAGGTTAGCTCACATCCCCAAGTACTGCAAACAATTCCTATATTTAGTTACTACACTATATACACAATAAGGGCTAAATCACTCCAGCTGCTGCATTACAACACAATGGCTGGATTTGCAGTGTGGTCCAGCAGGATCACCACAGTGCAATACGCCAATCCAAGTGCATTGCACGTCTCACTTTTTTTAAACAAACTTTATTAAAATGTCATAAAAACATTTCATTAGGTTCAATTGGCCACTGCATGGAGCAAGGCAGTGGATTGCCTCACACTGTGCTGCGGTGAGAAAATCATAATGTATGCACCACACACCATCGCAACACAGTGGTGTGAACCAGGTAAACAAGACAAAGACAAGACATTTTGCCTTGGAATAGCCACCCAACACAGTTTCCACTGCATCTGGTGTGAATATGTAAGGGTATGACCTTTCAGTAAACATAATTGTTTTATGTCTGTGAATCGTGTACCCTGGTGGGCCCAGCCCTCGGTTTTCCTTCAAATATACCCTTCTCTATAACGGAATGGGCGTGTAATATATTATTTGCTGTGGCTTGCTTTGCTATTTTGATTTTGTTATTGTATATATACATATTTTTGTATTTTGATACTATTTATGTAAGGTTCATCTAGTCTGTTTACTACCCGGTTGCTACCCATCTCACCTGAAGCATGAGCACACGTGTTTGATGCTGCCTTTTTAGGCTAACTTGGGATCAGTCGTGTTCGTAAGAGTCCAGCCATCTTGGCTGAAATGCATTGACAGTCTTTGCTGTGCACATCACTGTTTAAATAAGAGTTGATGTTTTACTGAAATTTACCATGGTGCTGGCCATCTTCATACCCTGAAAGTATGCCAGTGACTGGCACAGTAACAAATCTTGCAAAGTTTATTCACAATAAAAACGTGAACCTGGAGCACAAGAAACATCAATATGACTGAGACACCATACAGATGAAATACTACAGACTGCTCTCCAAGTTATTATCATTAGAAAAGGTTCTTACTTCTTCTTGCCTTTGATTAGCTGAAGAAAACTTGAGCTCCTTTGCTTGGTCATCTTTTGGATCAAACAAGTAAATGTAGTCTGATGAGTAGCTCACAAGAAGCTCTTGCCCATCCTCACTGTAGCACAAAGAGGTAACACGGCAGGATTTGTTTACAAGATGTGAGGGGACAAACCGTACACACATCCCTGTAGTTCCACGATTTGAATAATTGGCTGCCAGAAGAGAAAAAGGCACCTATCAATAAAACAATTTGGACAACAGTTTTTTGCCATCATACTTTCCCATCCAGCTGGCCTTTACCACCCATGGTCAGCTTTCCAATAGTTAAGTACAGTATATCTAAACCCAAGAACAAAAATGTATTGTTTTAAAGCTTACCAGCCCTTTGTTGTGTTGGCTGCATTAGTTTTCCTCTTAATTCTCAATACATTTTCTAAAAATACAGAACGATTCCTGTTGATCCTGTCAACAACCTTGTGTCCTAGTAACTTCCTATGCAATCAGCTGAAGTCTCAAATAAAGTTATCAGCTTTCTCAACCATCTTATGTGAACTGCAGTGCAGCTCAAGCCTATGCACTGGAATGAAGGGAGGGAGTCCAAATAAAAAGAGCAGCCTAGGATGACATTGCTCTGCCTCCATTTATACAGTACAGTGAGTGAGCGTTGTCACCCTAGGACAGAAAGCATTCCATTGGCAAGTTCAATAAGCAAGAATCAAGGAAAAATAAAAGCCTGAAAATTAAAAACTAATGCAGCCATTAAATCTAAGGATTGGCAAACTGCAGTTTAATACATTTTTATTTTTTCCATAAAAAAAAAAACTTACTCTCTCTTGTTCTTAATCAGAAACATTTTGATACATGAAACATTTTGGCTTTAAAAAAAAAAAAAAGAAGGTGCACTGTGGGACTATATTCTTAAAACAGTATGTAAACCTAAGTTTTCTGTAAGCCATTGCAACTTGCAATTTGCAGCAGGATTGTCAATGCAGCCTGCCCCATTGCCTGCATGCTCTTTTATTTGGCCATCAGTTTGCAGGAGGCATGCCAACTAACCACTGATGGAACACACACAGCAAAAACAAAATGATAGATTCTGATTAATACGTTGGGCAAACAGCTAAAATAGAATTTATCTGGTTTTCATGAATTAGCTAATACTCTCAAAGTATAAAGTTATAAAAATTGACCTAGATTATAAAATAGCACTAATCTATGTAAAAATAGATTAAGATTTTAGCCTTTAGATCCAAAGTAATGGTTTCACTGACACATCTCAGCACAAAATCTCATACTGGTCCACATATACACTAAGTCATTGGTCCACACACACACATACTACATATATATACACACACACACACACACACATATATATATATATACATATATATATATATATACTATATATATATATATATATGTAAGTATGATCCTGTTTCAGTAACTTAGCTAAAAAGTAAGACCTTTAACCAGATGTGATAAAGGCATTTTGGAACCAAATGTGCTTTTGTGCATAATTTTAAATGAAGGCTCACTGAGCTAAAATTAGTGGCTTCCAATCTCTTATAGAAGTGTTCTAGAAGAAAAACACAATTCCATTTCTAGAGTTCAAGGGAATAGTTAGACACCTTTGCACAAAAAGTACTTTAATAATTTAAAGCATAATTAACCTCCAAAAAATAAAAAGCTTACCCATTCTAAGTGGGAGTGGATATATTCGTTTTCCTTTATTATGCTTTTAGCAATTAGTTTTCCTGCCAGGAACACTTCCTGTCCTAGGGTGACAATGCATATCCACCATACTGTATGCGTATATATTTAACCACTTAAGCTCCATAAGGTTTTACCTCCTTCATGGCTAAGGCATTTTTTTTTTGCTATACGGCACTATGCTACTTGAACTGTGTGGTCATGTGACACTGTACCCAAAAAAAATTTATATAATTTTTCCCACAAATAGAGCTTTCTTTTGGTGGTATTTGATCACCACAGGTTTTTTTTTTTTTCTGTACTATATAAATGAAAGAATAATGAAAAATTTTAAATAAAAAAAACCCACAATATTTTCTATTTTCTGTTATAAAACATATCCAAGAATAAAAAAAAAAAAAAAAATAAAAATAAAATTTCTTCATAAAGTTAGGCCAAAGTGTATTTTGCAACATGTCCTTGGTAAACAAAAATAAGTGTTGGTTTGTGCGAATGTTATAGCATCGACAAACTATGGCATATATACTGGAATTTATGCAGCTATGACGGTAATGGTGGTGATCAGCAACTTAAAGTGGGACTGACAGTGGACGGCAATCTGGTGCTAGTTGACACTGGCTGGGAACAGCACTAACTGGAACTGGCATCAATTCTGACACTAGTACAGTGATCAGTGTGAATACTGTACACGTCACTGTACTGACACTGGCTATGATGGGGTTAACATCTGGGGCAAAGGGTTAACTGTGTGCCTAGCATCACTGCTCTCTGTACAGAGCTCTCTGTAGTTAGTAAACACATGGCTCTGTGCTGGGATTCGCTAAGCCAGTCAGCAGGTCCCAGCCATAAATCATTGGCTTGGACCTGCTGACCGACTTGTGCTGTACCAAATCACAGCACACATCGGCAGGAGGCGCATGCATCCTTTACCCTGAAATGGTGTGTCATGTATGTGATCCAGTGCAGCAGGGCCACCTGGCCACAGTAAAAAGATTGGGGACGGTCCTTAAGTAGATAGATAGATAGATATCTATATATATATAATATATATATATATATCTATATATATATATATATATATATATATATATATATATATAAATAAGAGAGAGAGAGAGAGAGAGAGCGCAAGCAGGACTACAGAACACCTCCCTCTCTTTAGGGGGGGGGTTAATAAAACAAAGACAGCTGAAAATAAATATAAATTGATAAAAGAGTGCAAGACAGACACACAAGCACAGGAAGTCTTCAACCCATAAGATTTTTGCCCTTATGGAAAGGATAGAACACAACCCCTTTATTCATTAAACTTACCAAAAAGGGAACAAACATGAAAAGTTCCTAAATAAATATTCAAAACTATTTCTGAGCATGTTTTCCAATACTGCAAAATAAGACTTAGTGTCTTGGTGGATATCCCCCTCAAAAAACAGAAGATCTGTACTATGAACCTTGCCTTTAGTGAAAGGTCTGCTTCAATTTATTATCTTCATCAGCATTTTAATATAAAACAAAAATCTTATATTGGCAGGTGAAAAGAAACTTAAATTTAATATAGCATTAGAATACAAAAAAAATATTAAAATGTAAAACACCTATAACGAAACATACTTGTTGCTCCTGTTCCGAGCATTCGGCGATCGTAGATTCGCACAGAACTATCAGAGCAACCAACTGCAAGGTAAAATGGAGCTGAAGGGCAAATGGCTATTGAGGTAGCAGCACGTCTGCAGTTAATCAAAACATCCTAGGGAAAAAAAACAAAAAAACCGTAGTAGGTAAGCAAGCACGATTTGACAGAGTATAGGATAGGACAGGAAGGGAACAGTTGCATAATTAGATAACAGTGAGCCTGAATGGAAGTGTTTACTAGGGAAACAGGATAGGAAAATAATGTCATTAAATTAACCTCAAATGTCTGCAAAGTGTTCATTCACTTTTACTGAAAAGGATGCCATCAGTTTGAGATGCTTCATTTGAGAGATCATTAAACAGGTATATGAAACCTACACTTGAGCTACCTCAAGCAGGTTTTGCATGGGCTTGCATGGGAATGCAAGACCCATTTTATATAAAATCCATCAGCAAAGATTCTTACCCTTCCTGTGGATCCCGTCACCTGAGACTTTTCACTGAAAATTAGTCTGATCTGCAACAGATGTGATCATACATGATGACTGGAAAATCTGACAGAATAGTGGCAATTTAGGTAAGTGCCAATGGTCCATACTGTTCAGTGCAGAAATGGAACCACTTAGACTGTCTTGCACACACCCCAATGTGGCTCTTAAATGGCTGTACCCAGATAGTTGTTACAAGTGGTGGCTCTTTTACAGGCAGATAATCAGCAAGACGGTCCCTAAGATGCCCTTTTGAGTAGAGAGATAGAGAATCTCAGGAGAAGCTCTCAGAGCAATTTTTGTAGACTACAGCTGGCCATAGATGGATCAAAATTTCTCTGGTTCAGCAGGGACTGGCCAGATTTTGATCTTCCTGTTTGAGTGGAGGCCACCTAGTAATCGACTGCTCTTGAGAGGGACTGTTGAAAAATTTGTGTGAGATCATCACATGAGGCCAATCAGCTCGCAATGATCAATGTGTTCTGACAGCGAAAAAGTCCTGCTGTCAGAATACAACACCATGGCAGGGTGTGTGGATGGGGGAATCTTTTTTATCAGCCAGAAAAAAAAAATCCATGTCTGGCTTTGCTTAAACAGATATTATCAACCAGAAAAGTCTAATTAGCTGTAGGTTAACAGATAAGTAGCACTTTACAGGAATCAGAGTCTCTCAAGCAATGCTGCAAACTTGATTTAGGAGATATTCCTACTGAAGTACCTTACACATACTGGATTATTTAAAAGGAAAGAGCAACAGTGAACAGTCATGCAGCTCCTTGCAGTATTATTGGCAGCAGAGCAATACTGCACTCTATTTGCTCTTTACACTTCCTTAATAAATAAGCCAAGATGTATGAAAGGAGTAGTAAAGACTGCAATGTCCATATAATTTTTCATTGACCACAACAAGCTATGTAAATGGGGCTACTGAGAGCTAGCAATGTGTCCTCACTTGAGAGGCCCGATTCTATATTTAGAAGCCCTTGAAATAACAGGCTACATACACCATCAAACATTGCTTACAGCTAAGACTCAGATCAGCATGAAACCCAAGTGTAGGAGAAGTGGAATGTAGCTTATAGTAACTGAGTTTAACAACCTAGTAGTATGTGTAAGGACTATTTTTACATAAAAAGGAACATTTATGAAAACTGCAAAATATAGCATGCCCCAAAAAGAAAACAACGTACACAAAGCAACCAGATTCTTTGTTTTATTTTTTCAGAGAATAAAAAGATGAAACCTGATTGGTTACCGCAGGCAAATACTCCATTCTCATGGAGAACTTTCTGCTTTTTTGTTTTTATAAAATATGCCCATAACGGCGTAACGTAGGTTAAAAAAAAGTCAAAATGTCAAAAACCGTTGACAGGCAGGGTTTCTAAAACAGAAGAGACCCTAGATGTCTCTTTTCTCATAAATATCCCCCCTGCCTGTTAGCGGTAATGTGATCTGGGCGCATGCGCAGCTCAGACCACATTTATGGCCGCTCTGCGACTCCCGTGTGAGGTGCACACTACTACATTATGACCTAAACCTAGAGGGGTCAATTCTTTTTTTAATTTTTTTTCAGGAGACTTTGCTGCCACTTTAAAGGATAAGTTCACATTTGGGAACATGTTTCACTGTTTTTAGGGTGGGACATGTAACATGTTCCCAAAGCCACAGCCAACAGACCCCCCCCCCCTGGCCAGATAGTACGGAGAGAAGTTTCCCCATACTATCTATCAAATTCGAAAACCCCGTGGCTGTGACAGCCTTAGCGGCTGTGGGCTTGTAGTTTTCAATGAACTACCACGGCACTGTGGAGCGAGGTGGTAGTTCATTGAAGCTTCCTGTCAGAATATCTGCTTGCTGTATAGGATGTACAAGACCTGCATGGCATCAGTGATCTACTGATCGATAGTGCAATGCTTTCCAGGCTCCTGTAGGCAAAAAAAATAAATGCTAATTTTTTTACCTGCAAAAAAATGCGCGTTTATTATTTTTGTCTAAAAAGGTGAACTTATCCTTTATTGCAGTAAGCGCCTTTTTTTAGCCGGATTAAATTATCTATATATATTCCCCTTAAACACAATATATTATGAATTCTGTGGCAAACAGTAGATAAAAACTATAAAAAGCTATTCACATATGGCTTCCATTTTTTTTTTTATTCAATAACAAAAATAAATGAACAAAATAATTAAGCCTACATCTTTACAGTCTTCTTTTGTGCAGCTGGTCTTGGCTCGAACATCAAACCACCGAACAGTGCCATCTTCACCACATGACAGAAATGTGTAGGGATCATTGGGTACAGTCATAATCTGTAAACAGATTTTAGAAGGACCATTCATAAAAGTTTTACTTTGCTCAGTATTTGAACATCCTTTGCATATAACAGTTAATAAAACATTATCCTAAATTTGTTAACAGAAATAGTGGTGACTGCGAATTATTTATTTCAGATGCACATGTTGAACATTAAGGTTTTTTTACATGTCTTGTACAAAAGGTTGTGCTACACTTTGTCCTATACATTTTTCTACAAAACAGTTATTACCCTCAATACAGAATAAACAGTTAACAGGCTTCTTTTAGTAAGTTTTAAGCTTTTAGAAAAAGGTTGTCCTCTATGGAACCCCATTTCCCTGCAATGGAATTCATTACCTGCATCCCTACTGCTGAACAATTTTAATGTGCAACCCTGTCCAGCATTACACAGCCTTTCCTTTAAAAAAATAAACAGAAAAAGACCCAGCCACACTATGCTCTATGGTCACGTGCACCACAGTCCCTCTATTAATTTTCATTGATGGCCCTGAACTCCCATGTGATGCCAATCACGAAGCACCAGCACCAACCCTTTTATGCAATAAAAGGGGAGTGAATAAGATGCTCCCCCATACCTGAAATACTAGGTATATTCTTTGCTCTCAGTGGCGAAATGCAGCAATGGGCAAAAGGTGGGTTGTGTGCTGCTGGGGAGGAGGCATTAGGGTCAAAACGGATTTCTCTTCCCCATGCAGAAAATACTACTGCCCTGTCTTCTTGCTTGTGATGTTGGCAGTCCCAGCGAACTTCGAACTATCACTCAAGTGACCTCCTACAGCAGGGGTGTCCAACCAGCGTCCCGTGAGTCCCATGCGGCCCCAGACAGTTTAACATATGGCCCATCTTGAGGGATGCCATGAAGCAGAGCAAACAAAACAGGAAAAAAAAAAAAATCTATCTATCTCCAGGGACACCGGGGATGCCGTATAAACAAAAGCTTGGGCAGTCTAAATTGACAAGCTAGGGAAAATGCACGGCTGGAGGGATTATTTTTATACAGGATTTATATAGCGCCAACAGTTTGCGCAGCGCTTTACAATGTAAGGGAGACAGTACAATTACAATACAGTACAGAAGGAATGTGAGGGCCCTGCTCGTGGAGCTTACAATCTTAAGGAAGGGGAGATGATACAAAAGGTGATAGCTGTGGGGGATGATCTGGTGGAGGTGATTCAAGTACAGTTCTTAGGTGGAGGTGGGGTGGGGTAGGCTTCCCTGAAGAAGTGAGCGTCTCAAAGATCGCCTAAAAGCAGACAGGGTGGGGGCTGACCGAACATGCTTTGGTAGGGAGTTCCAGAGGATGGGAGAGGCTCTGGAGAAGACCTGGAGGCGAGCGTGGGAAGAAATGATAAGGGAACTAGAGAGGAAGATATCATGGGAGGAGCGGAGTGGGTGATTTGGGCGCCATCTGTGGATGAGGTTGGCGATGTAGCTAGGGGCAGTGTTGTGGATGGCTTTGTAAGCTGTGGTTAGTATTTTGAATTTTATATGTTGGGTTAGTGGAAGCCAGTGAAGGGATTGGCAGATAGGGGCAGCAGTCGCTGATCGGTTGGTAAGGTGTATGAGTTTAGCAGCAGCATTCATAATAGACTGAAGGGGGGATAGCCTGTGTGACAGTAGACCAGTGATGAGGGAGTTACAGTAATCGAGGCAGGGATATAACCAAGGCGTGAATACGTTGTTTTGTGGTGTCATTGGTCAGGAAGGGGCGGATTTTGGAAATGTTCCGGAGGTTGAAGCGGCAGGATTTAGCCAGTGAGTGGATGTGAGGCCCAAAGGAGAGGTCAGAGTCTGAGATTACGCCCAGCACCCTGGCATGAGGGAAAGGCCCAGTGGTTGTGCTGTTGATTTTAATGGTAAAGTCGTGAGTGGGGGACCGGGGAGGAGGAAAGATTGAGTTTAAGGTAGTGGTGTGATATCCATGCTGATATGTCGCTTAGTAGATTTGTGATACGTGAGGAGGTTGAGGGGGTGAGCTGGGGAGTGGAGAGATAGATCTGGGTGTCATCAGCATAGAGGTGGTATTGGAATCCATGGGAGGTTATCAGTTGGCCCAGGGAGGAGGTATAGAGAGAGAAAAGAAGGGGCCCAAGAACAGAACCTTGGGGTACCCCAACTGAAAGTGGGAGCAGAGAAGAGGACTTGTATGTGACACTGAAAGTGCGCTGAGAAAGGTAAGAGGAGAACCAGGAGAGAGTACAGTCATGGAGGCCGATGGAGTGGAGTTTACTGAGGCGGAGCGGGTGGTCGACTGTGTCAAAAGCAGCGGAAAGGTCAAGGAGTATGGAGTAATGGCTGTTGGTTTTAGCAGTTAGTAGGGATTCCAGAGATGCTATGTTTGCAAAAGCACTGGCAGCGGGAGTTCAGGGGCACCAGGTAGGTAAATGCGGCATTGTTAGATCTAGGGGGAGGCTGGGGTGGGCTGTGCCCCCCCCCCCTCCAAAACACACACACTATATTCACACCAGCACTTAGGGACGTTGCAAATTGTAGTGGCAGTTCCTCCTGCAGCTCTCAGCAGGTAGGTGCTGCTGTCGGCCCCATTCACTGTAATGACAGTTGTCCGGCAGCCATACCTATTCGTGGCCATCTACACAGCGAGTGACTACCTGCAGTGATTACTGCTGGATGAACTTTGTCTGCATCCAGCAGTGATCACCACAGGTAATCACTGGCTGTGTAGAGAGCTGCTAATAGGTGTGGCTGCTGGAGACCTGTCATAATGAAAGGTCAAAAGGCGGCCACACCTACCCACTGAGAGCTGCAAGAGGAACTGCTCATCAGCTATCCTTATTGTTAGTGTTTTTTTATGTGGGTCCCAAGACAATTTTTATTCTTCCAATGTGGAGGAAGGTCAAAAGGTTGGACACCCCTGCTCTACAGTATATCCTCCTTGCTCCTCCAATTGCTACAAAAAAAAGGTTATGTAGGAAGGCGAGGGCAGTGAGGAGATAATAGGTCAACAGAGAATAGACACTCCCAGAAGAAGAGAGGACTTTATTGTGGCAGAAGGGGTGGGGCTGTGCTAGAGAACTGACTAGTCAATTCAAAAAGGCAAATTCAAAAGGCACACTGCAAGTTAACAAAACACAAGTAACCATTTAAAATGCTTGATTTTTTTATGTTGCTTTTATCTGTATTTTTAAGATAGTCATTAAAACAAAAACACACTGCTGCAGGCATAAAGTACACCAGCTTCTGAAACTTTGGACAAGCACGAACCTGACACTTGTTAGATATCAGAGCTTGCAACTAAGGCAGGCCATAGACGGGCCGTTTATCGGCCAAATTTTCGGCCGATAAACGAAAAAAAAATCAGTCGGCCCCTGTTGCTGATGCTGCCATCCATGTCCACGAAAAACGTCCATTTTTTGCAGATTTTCCAGCGTGACCGATAAAAAAATAAATGAGGAGATCCGCAAAAAACGGCCGACGGGCTGGCCCCACTAACTGCGTAATTATCGACCGATTTTTTCGTGCGTATGAAAATTTGGCAGATAAACGACCCGTCTATGGCCTGCATAAGACCCAATCCCCACACATTTCCAACCCATTATTATAGTAGCCTCATTGGCCGAAAGGAATAAACAAGAGGCAGGCCATTTTAAAATGTGGAGTGATATCTGAATGAAGAAACATTGCTGCATAAATTATATTATATTCTATATACACACACAAGATGTATATAAAACAAAGTTGCATCGTATTACAGAGTAGTATAAGCAACTTATAAAACGCTGGTAATAAATATTGAGCTACTGTAAGCCAGACAATAACAACAGGGTGCCTACCATGCCAACTGTATTTAAGCGGTTGTGGACTTTCTACTACTCACCTAAAAATACTTTATCAAAATACTTTGGGCATGTGTAGTATATGATCTGCTCCTCCACTGCAGCTCTGTGGCTGTATTTATGACAGTTAGTTTGTAACACAGGAGCAGCTAATCCTGTGTAAATTGACACTAACAGAACATTGTCTGCATTATCAATAAGGGTCCATTCACATCAGACTGTGTGCAATGGGTGTTATGTAGGGGCAGTGCCATGTGTTACAATGCACTGCAGTGTTTGTGGCAGAAGGGGTAGGGCTGTGCTAAAGAACTTACTAGTCAATTCTTCTTTAACTGTATTGAAAGTTACAAAACTGTTTATTCCACTTTATGCACTGTGCAGTTTGCAAATCCATGTACTGTGCTGCTCTATTTAAAAAAAAAAAAAAAAAAACAAAAACAAACAACACAGACATGCTGTATTTTTAATATAGAAAAAAAAAAGCATCCAAGAGGTGCTGGGACTTTGATGCGAGTTCAAAGAAGGTAGAGTTAGGAAAAAAAAACATTTGGAAAGCTCACTGGCTCGAGTAAGGCCGCTCACAACAGACAGGGCAACCCCTCCAGTGGGTATCCAGAAGCTTACCAGAAAAAAGAAAAATAATCTTGGATTGCTCATGCAGATGCTGATGGCTAGTATATTTCCCAGTCCAGCAATTAACTTCCCCACATTGTTTTAATCAGGAATGCCCTAGTCCATTTTGAGTTCCTTACTTTAAATGAAGCCCTGATGAAAAGGGGGGGGGGGGGGCTTTTTTGTTCCCCGAAACATGCTAGATGTTCTTTAGAACCAATAAATGAATGTGGTTGGTCTGGCGTTCCTTCTAATGCTGCATTTATATCCAGCTATCACCACCGCACATGTACATCAAGACAGGACATTTAGAAATCAATGTTCACACACAGACACATGTAGCAGGGACACCAGTAAAGTGAGGACATTTTCTCCGTAGGCAGCAGCTGGCTTCCATAGTGCCGTTTCCACAAACTATCCTGTGCTGAAAACAACCAGCAAGCCTTCCAATCTGGAACCTGGAAAGACATTTCCAAGTCCACCCAACCTGCTATCTCCTCTCTCTTGAATGGGCTCATGCACTGACTGGAAATCTCTGCCACATTGCTTGTCTTCCTCTCCTCAGGACACTAGGTGCCACCAGCTCAACCTGGATGAAGCTCCACTTCTCTTTCCATGACTTCACTATGTCATCTGAGGGATGAAACTGACCACACCAGCACAGATCTGTTTCTGCGATTGACATGTTCAGTTTCAAACACCAAAAGGGAACTGGCAGATCACCAAGCAAAAGAAGAACTAAATAAAGAACAGGCTGGAGATACCAAATGACAACATAAAAACACACACAACAACTGAGATGATTTTTGGGGTAATATACACTTTAATCACTTTGGCTCTTATACCTGTACATCATAGACCAGAATTTTTTTTTTAATTTTTGCTATGGACTGGTTTTGTTTCGGCAAATATTACCTAAGATAAAAGTAATAAAAACATAAATATTTTATTTTCTTATGGATTTTAAAGACAAAAGGCTTTTTTTTTGTGAGGTCTGAATAAAATAAATTTTTTATTCAATCCTTAACCACTTGTACCAGTCTGTACTTCTTCATTATCAGCCAATTTTTCAGTTTTTCACCAATGTGATAGTTTGACTACCAATTACTCCATTATGCAACACTCTACCGAGACCGGTTTTATAACTTTTTAACTTTTTTTTTTTTTTTTTTTTAGGCAAATCGCATTTCCCTTACATAATGTTAAAATAAAAATGCCAGAATAGTATGAAAATCCCTGAAATTATGCCTTTTTTTGGAAAGCAGACTCCCCCAAGGTGATCCAATTTTTTACCACATTTTTTGGAATTGAAGAAACATGCCGGTATTGAGGTGGTTAAACATTGAGCTTGAGAATGGTGCATTAAATAAATAAAGTGGTTCTACAGCCAGTACATTTTTTATCTTAATGCATTTCCTGCATTAACATAAAAATGTCCCAGTAGCAGTATTCACTTCACCCACCCCCCCCATACCTACCTGTGTCCTCACTCGATCCAGCACTGCACCTGTCTAACTGCACTCTCTCCCTGCCATTGGCTCCTGTTACTGTCAATCAAATCCTGGTGAGCAGAGAGTGAGACCGAGCTGTACTGCTGTGTCTATGGATACACACAGCCCAGCTCAGGAACGAGCCCACACATGCGCTCCTATAGCAAGCGGCTTCCTATGGTGGCGCACACGGAAGAGAAAGCACCTAGAATAGAGGAAGCCCAGAAGAGGAGGTTCAGGGCCACTCTGTGCAATACCAGAGCACAAAGCAGGTAAGTATATCATGTCTATTATTTTAAATAAAAAACAAAAAACGTTTTTTTTCGATATTATAACCACTTTAATGTATTGGTCATACACAGGGGAAGGAAGAATTGAAGGGATACTGGTTGCATCAAGTAGCAGGATGGAGATGAGGGGATTAATATTCAGATGGGCAGGATAAGGGAGGTAAAATTGTTAATATACAGGTCACATAGAGACAACATGGAGCTAGTATGTGTAGGAGAAAAGAGAGGGGACAAAAGGGTTAATAAAAATGATCACTGTGGCACTGAAACACAATGAATGAATTTGCAGCTCATTCCTTCAATCTTCATTCACAAGTACTCGATCTCCATCCTTCCTCTGTTGAAAGGTGAAGGGGAGGGACCAAACATTGTAAACAGTACCAGGTGATTGCTGTGATGACCAAACAGTGATCACAATGTACCCGCCCCTTGATTTGGCCTGGTACAGAATATCTGGGTACCGAGCTGTCGAACGACAGTTCACTATACAGTTATTACTGGGTGGATTGGCCGCCCAATGGCTATTTATCCAGTGCCATACATAAACAATGGGTAAACAAAGGGCTACTGGTTCACAATTTAAAAAAAAAAAAGTCAATTTTATTATGTAATTTTTTTTGTTTACAGAACGCAAAAAATTGTCTTGGGCCCCACATAAAAAACACTAATAAGGATAGCTGATGAGCAGTTCCTCTTGCAGCTCTCAGCGGGTAGGTGTGGCCGCCTTGACCTTTCATTATGACAGGTCTCCAGCAGCCGCACCTATTAGCAGCACAGTGGCTAAATAGTTAGCGCTTCCGCCTGGCAGTACTAGGGTTGTTGGTTCAAATCCCAACCACGGCAACACCTGCCTGGAGTTTGCATGTTCTCCCTGTGCAGGTTTCCTCTGGGTACTCTGGTTTCCTCCCACACTCCAAAAGGCATGCTGGTAGGTGAATTGGATCCTGTCTAAATTGGCCCTAGTATGTGTATGTATGAATGTGAGTTAGGGACCTAAGATTGTACGCCCCTTGAGGGTTAGGGACTGATGTGAATGTACAATATATATGTAAAAGCATTGCATAAAATTGACAGCGCTATATAAGTATCTGAAATAAATACATAAAGAAAATTTTTTATTTGTTAAGTTGTCCTAATGGACATCATTCAAATTCAGGCCCCATTCACCAACACACACACACTCTCAACACTTTAAAGATGTGAAATACAGAATGGGTCCCCGAACGCACACATCATATTGGGACACAGCAGCTGTGTCCCTGCAACTGTGTGTCCCAACAGACACCCAACAGAACACCAGCATGGGGATGCATGCAACACCTGTGCATCCCCGTTCTCAGAATACATGGTCCTACAAGGGGCACATTGCTAATCACCCTGTATGAACAGGGCCTTAAGTTCTTCCCCATCATATGCAGATGAATGAAATGTAGTAACAGTGTTACTTTGTATCTCTGTATTTCGCATCTAAACCGTGTTGATAAAATACTCAGCCAGACAGCTGTTTTGAGCTATGCTGGATCTACTATGCTTAATCCATAGAGCTCAGGTCTTTTTTTGGAAATTGAAGCAAATGGGAAAGGGGGCATGGCTGAAGAGTAGAAGGAATGGATATGCTACACATGGTCTGTGTACTTTGATGACATTTTTATGGGCATGCGTAGTATACGCAGTATCAACTCAACCAGGCAGCTCATTCAATTACAGAGTAAGTGAGCTGCCTTACAATGCATGTAATGTGTGGTACTGTGCTTTGCAGGAACACACTCGTTACCACAACAAACAAAAAAGTGTGATTAAGTCCTTTATGTTATTCTTGAAAGTCCTGTGACTCCAGACTGATAGGAACCTTTCACATGGTGCAAGAGGGTGGTTATTAGGTATACAGTTCACTAGAAGGGAATTATTTTTGCCCCTCAGCAAAACTAGAGTGTGTTGGGTCCAAACCTTTCTGAAATAAGTTTAAGCAAAGTATTATACAAAACAGATGAACAGTCTATACTCTGTTAAAATATACTGTATACCCAGTTAAAAACATACTGTACACAAAAAGTACCTGAAATAAAACCAAGCACAAAGTATGTAGCCATGATACACTATTAATAGGAAATAAAGCAGGATAAAGTAACATTTTAACAGAAAATATAATTATGTACAGCCATCTGTCATCACACACCTCATATGCTGTTCCATAATGGCATGTAAATTGGCACTGTCTGTTTGTCTCTGTATCTTTTTCAATGTCTGTAAAATAAATGACTCCATCTCCTGAACATGAAATGATGTGCTTATCATTGGTAAGTGGCAGGAACTTCGCGCTAAAAATATTGGCTCTGTGACCTGAGCGGATTCTCGTCAAGACCTGAAAATATGGAAAATTAGATTTGCAACTTAATATAAAAAATGAACAATGCTAGTTTCGAAGCAGAAATAATTAATTTATATAATCATGTCAGTGCATTGCTGTGAAATTGCAGACTCCCAGGCTTAATTTCATATAAAACAACAATGCTACATTTGTAATATTTCCCATTGGGTGAAAAAAAAACAGAAAAAGGTAAAAAACGTGACTGGTACCTTTTGAGAGGAAATATGAATTTTGAAAAACCAGATGTCTGATAAACATGAATAGTAAGGAAACAATACAAAAATATATTTTTGTATGCTTATCCTTATGTATTTCTACATTTATATACCAAATCCCACATGCTGTACTGCTAAATCCCTTTGGATCTACGTACCTTTTTATTGTAGGGGTTACAAATGACCAAAGTTGTGTCATCAGACCCAGATAGTATGTATTCCCCTGTACTATTCCAACATATCGAATTTACCTAATAAGGAAAAAGGAAGGATAAAAATCAAAGCAATCATTAATTGCATCAAACAACATCATCAGGCATTTACTCTTGTTATCTAAACTTGCTAAATCACATTGGTCATTAGGTAGTTATTTTAAGGCAATCTGTCGACACACAAATATGAAGAACTGGTATGGTTAACTTGTTTATGAAGATGCATTCTCTGGAGCAGCCAACCTTCTCAGACTCAAGTATTGGAGTGAGTCACTGACCTGGAGCAAGCAAAGCCATATCTGGTGCCCAAACTAAATGATGTATATATGTGTTTTTCCCAGGTCAACGACACCTAATACAGTATATAAAAAGAAAAAAGGATGACAGCACCTAAAAAACTATTGCTAACTTGAGAGTCACCATACTAATGCTTCTCTGAACAGGACCTCAATTGTGGTCAGATCTCTCCTAGTGTGTTCAAACCCACTCTATAGCATTCCATGATATGTTCTAGTATAACTATGCCTTTGGTTGCTACAGGATACAAAAATTTAAAAAAAAAAAAACAAAAAAAAAAATAAAAAACACACACACAGGCAAAAATATTGACACTCCTGCATTCCTGTCAGATAATGCACCATTTTGGCCAGAAAACTGTTGCAATTACAAATGTTTAGACATGATCATGTTCATTTCTTTTGTTTGTATTGGTATGACACAAAAAAGTGGAGAAACAAAAATCGAAAATCTGACACATTCCACGCAAAACACCAAAAATGGACTGGACAAAATTAACATAAAGAAAAAATTTTATTCCAAGTTTGTGATGCTCCTGTATTTTGTAATTAAACTCACCTGTATCAACAGGTGCTGACAATATAGAAGTCATACCAGCAACCAGTTAAAAATTGACTGAACCTTTCTGTTGTGTGTCTGTCTGCAACATGGAGCATGGAAAAAAGTAAGAACAGCAAAGTGTGGTCTGAGGATTTGAGAACAAAAATTGTGGAAAATCATGGACAACCTTAGGTTACAAGTCCATATCCAGAGATCTTAATGTTTCTATGTCCACTGTGCACAACAATGTTAATAAGTTTACAGTCCATGGCACTGTAGCTAATCTCCCTGGATGTGGACAAAAGAGAAAAATTGAACAAAGATTGCAACAAAGGGATTGTTCGAATGGCAGATAAAGAACCTCGATCAACTTCCAGACAAACTCAAGCTGACCTTCAGGCACAGGATACTGTGTCAGCTCGCACTATCGGAATGAAAAGGGATGCTATGTTAGAAGACCCAGGAGGACCCCATTGCAGACACAAAAACTCAAAGCCAGATTGGAGTTCGCCAAAAACTTGCCTGAGGAAGCCAAAATTCTTTTGGGAGAATGTGCTGTGGACAGACGAAACAGAATTAAAGCTTTTTGGTAAAGCCCATCATTCTACTGTTTTCAGAAAAAGAAAGAAGGCCTTTAAAAAAAAAAAAAAATACAGTGTCTACAGTCAAATATGGTGGAAGTACACTGATGTTTTGCAACTTCAGGCACTAGATATCTTGACCATGTGCATGGAATTATGAAATCTGAAGACTACCAAAGAATTCTGGAGTGCAATGTAGGGCCCAGTGTGAGAAAGTTGGGTCTCCGTCAGAGGTCATGGGTCTAACAGCAGGGCAATGACCCAAAGAATAGGTCAAAAAGCACCCAGAAATGGTTTCAGATAAAGCGCTGGAGAGTACTGAACTGGCCAGCAATTAGTCCAGATCTCAAACCCATACATAGAGCATCCGTGGAGAGATCTCAAAACAGCAGTTGGGAAAAGGAACCTTTCCAATCTGAGAGGACTGTAGTAGTTGGCAAAAGAAGAGTGGTCCAAAATTCCAGTAGAGATGTGTAAGAAACTCACTGATTGTTGCAGGGAGTGATTGATTTCAGTTATTTTTTTCCAAGGGGCGTGCTACCAAATAATAAATTGAGGGTGACAATTCTGTCCAGTCCATTTTTCGGGGTTTTGCGTGGACTGTGTCAGATTTGGCTTTTTGTTTCTCCATTTTTTACAAAACAAAAGAAATAAAACATGAGAATGCCTAAACACTTGTAATTGCAACAATTTTCTGGGCAAAGTGGTGCATTATCGGACACAAATGCAGGAGAGCCAATATTTTTGGCCATGACTTTATATCAAGGTTTTGGTTTATCTACATGTTGAAACTATGCCCCATCAACATTAGCCCCCTTCCCAATTCAGTTTTAGAATATAAGTACATGTATCTTATACAAATAAGTTTTCTATAAAAGCACATATATTAACCCTTCCACTGCCAGGTCAGTACGTCATACGGACCTGACAGCAGGGAGTTTTATACACAATCTGGTGGCTACAGTCAAACGTACACGTCAGGGCGCCTACGTGTGAAACCGCTGATTGCAATACACGTTACATATCGCCGCACACGCTGGAGTGAAAGCAATAATTCTATTACAAGATCTCCCCTGTAACGCTAAACTGATTACCTACAGGGGTACTGAAGTTTGTCACCATTTCACAGGCGCACACAAAATTTAGCATGTCGAGTATCTATTTATTCAGTGCAAGCTTGTCTTTTATATTTTACCAAACATTTGGGTAATTTATTGTGTTTTAGGAAATTTTGCCTTTCCTAAACCTTTGCAATAATATCATGTGACATAAATTTTTTTTAACTACCACTATTTTATTCTATAGGGTGTCTGCTTTCAGAAAATATGTAACTACAATAAGTGGAAAAGGTAAGCATTAATCCAAAAAAATCTTTTTGTAGCTGCATGCAATGGATAAAGATATGCCACAATATCCTAAAGAATACCATAAACAATATATGCAGAGCTAAGTGCTGCAATTTTTGTTTATTAAAAATGTATAATGTTTTGAGGGTTTTGTCTAATCTTCAGGCCTAAAATTATTTTTTTAAACGTGTGCAAAAAAAATGCAAAAACAGCTCTGGCAGTGAAAAGGGTTAAATGGCATCAATACTTCACGACCACCTGACTTAATTGTTTCAAGCATTTGAAAATATTTAAAATCAGATTATTTGTCAAGAGTAAGGTGGGGAATAAGTACCTTTTTTTAGCTACTTAAATTTTACATAAAACACTCTACGGAAAAAGAAGAAAATACATAAGCAATCTTCCACCTACAAAAAACTGAAAGTTTACAGAATTACATACAAGCAAACCTAGAGCACATCCTGTTACACAATACATACTTCTCTGCACAAAACATTTCTTTGTAACATGTACAGTTGTGGCTGATGCGGTGTCACCTTCGTTGTCTGAAACTTCTGATGGGCGTGAATTTGTTAGAGTAATAAACTCTAATAAATCTAGCATATAAAAAAGCAAGGTAAAAACTTGCCAGAGCAGACACATGCATGCATGAATAGATCAAAGCGAGTTATTTCGTGCTCCAAATCTAGGAAGGGTTTTTATAAAAATACAATGACAACCAGAGTCAAAGACACAGATGCATTGTTGCAGTTTTCTGTGACTAAGTAACAAATGTTAGTCAGTAACAAGCAATACCACATTGCTACTAAAAGCACTAGTTTTGGATTAAGTGATATTTAAAGAACAACTCTTCAAACCCATTGTACCCATACTGGCATACCTCTCATAATAAGCCAAAATCTCTTTCCAGCTTAAAGAGGCCAGATCACTTATGGATTTTTTATGAAATTACATATCCGCAGCATCCCTCTGATGTGTATTTTCCACCACAAGTCTTGTTCAAAATCAGTACCAGATCAAACTCTGTGGAGGCCCCTAGGTAGTCAAAACCTAGAGGCCACCCTCACAGATTTCTGAAGGTTTCTGGTGCATGTTCTCTAGCAGGATAACATAGAACCAAGTAGTGGGCATGCTGGCCGCTAGATGGAGATGACCATCACTACTGTATATTCCACTTAAGTAGGTTACAGCAAACATTTTACGAACTTACAAAATGATAGAAAATTAGCTTTTAAGACAAACTAATGGGAACCTGATGTCTATGGTTTATGTACTTTAAGTTGTCATTGGGTATATTACATTAATACAGTATTTTTTCTATGGAGTCTTTAAAGCGGAGTTTCATCCATTTTTACGATTTCCTTTCATCTACATTGCTATATGCAGTGCATTTATAAATGGCTAGACTCTTTTTTTCTTTTTTTTTTAATGTCTAAATACCTGATCTAGAGCTGTGTATGTGGCACTTCCAGTCCGGCCACCTAGGCGTCGTTGTCATAAGGAGATTTCCTTGGACTCCTGGGATATCGGCAACATCTATCCCAGGAGTCCATGGGAATTGTCTAATACTGAAATATCATGTTATTTCAAGAGTGGAAATGATGCAATAGGGAGAGATTGCCACAACGGGGTGGGAACTTCCACCGCCACTGCCATTGCTATGGTAACCGGTCATGAAGAAACTGCACCACGCAGTGTCATTACTACGCAGGAGGGAAAGCAGGGGGTGCATGCTGGGTAGCCAGCTGCACAGAATCCCAGAAATAATCACAAGCAGGCTTCAGATGCTTCACAACCTGAATAGACCCTGCCTACTTCTGAGATATGGTAACATTTTTCCTAATTTTAAAGAAAGCCGGAACACATTAACATTATTCAAATCTGAAGTTGAAGTTTTAACAATCACACTTTTATGTAAAGTTTTCATTTCTTTGAGCGGATTTTTTTTTTTCTTTTGTAAACAATTTAGGAAAGCTTCAAATGTAATTTTTGGTTTCAATTCTTTTTATGGTTTTCCGAGAGATAAATAAATAGGCTCGTAGTCTGCCCACGCAGGGGCTCAAATGTATAAGCATATACAAAAACAACTAGCATAAACCATGTAAACAACAGCATTATTCCAAATAACGGAGCAGCAGGCGAGGTCAATGTAGTGGAATCCCTGAGGCTGAAATGCTGCCATCCCAGAGCAGATGTACTTGAAGGCCCTAATGGAAAGAAGCAGAAGGGAGAAGAAAGAGGAAAAAATGGGGGAGGGAGAGAAGGAAGGCAAGAA